AATAATATGAGTAAGTGCAATTTAAGGTAAGTAAATAACAATTATTTATTATTTTGTTAGTGATAAATGTGTAAGCAAATAAAGAGAAAACATTTCGAACTGATAATTTTTTACTTTTCTAAATTATATATTACTTACATAACTTTGTAAGTAATATATAATTAACTTAACTTAACTTGTTGGGAACTTTGAATTTTATCTAAATTTGAAGTATTTATTCATTTTTAACTACTTATTCTCTAATAATATATCTAAGCCAGATATACTTAAATTATAATATATAAGTCATAGTAATAAAATAAATGAAGTATACAAATAAAAGAAATACTTGTCAATTTCATCAATTTTTTTTTTTAGTTTAATTCTGATTGATTCTAACTCTCGTCAACTTTTCTCCAAAAATCTAATTCTTAAGTTATTCATTTTTAACTCATCCTAAAATTACTTTGATTTAAGTTAAGATTATAATACAAATAATGCTTGTTCTTCTCTTTACAAATTTCAAACATTCTTGCAAATAAAATAATAAATATCATATGTTAATTTCAATTAACACAACCATAAATTTGAATATTCAAATGAAAAATTTGATCATCTTTAATATTATTTAAATTTGATCATCTTTAATATTATTTCAAAAATTTCACATCCAGTAATAACGATTTTTCCTATTGTAACAATAATTATTGTTATTGTTTTTATTATTATTATTGTTATCGTTATTGTTATCATTATTTGCTTAAATGAATAACAATAAATTATATTTACTCTATTATCTGTCATACTAATGTTAGCACATCCTCCATGTTTGCAGCAGCAACTTATCACATTTTAAACTAAACTTTAAAATTTTTTGCATAATAATCGAGGAGAGAAAGAGAGAGAGAGTGAGTGAGAGAGAAACAGAGAGAGAGAGAGAGAGCGAAAGAATTTTAAAGTTTAGAAAGAATTGAAAGTAATTTCACTCATTTGAATTTCTTAATATCATTATTACTTCCCAATCATAATAAAAGCAAAATTTATGCATAAAAATTGCTAACATTTACATGCAATTTCGCAAAATGCTTAGAATTTTAAAATGCTAAAAATAGAAAAGAAAAAAAAAAAGAGAAAAAGCATTTATGTTTTGTTACATTTTTAGAATTAATTTTGAAAGTTTTAATGGAAATGCTAATAATGAATTAGAAATTGCAATGGATAATAATATAAAATAGAAATTGCTATGAATAATAAATCTTTTTCTCCAAATAATGCATAAATATAAATTGCTAAAAAAAAAAAAAAATTATTTCAATTATTAATGAAATTGCAATTTTATTACATATTGATAATTATAATTTAAGAAAAAAATTTTAACTCATACTTGTTCTTAAGAAGAAATAAAGAGAAAATATTCAATCCTTTTTTTTTTGTTTTTGTTTTTCCTTGAATTTTTGTTTATTTGAAGTGCAAACATTTTAAAAAAAATTTTTTTTTTTTATAAATATATGACTACTACTAATTGCTTTTTTTTTTTTTTTTTTGAATTGTTTTAAATAATAGCTATAGCATACTTTTCAAGGAAAAATCTTTAATTCTAATAAGTACACAACGATGCATAAGCATTCTAATTATTTCAGATATATGAGAAAACGAAAAATGAAAATGAAAAAATTTTTAAGTTAAAATTTAGAAGAGAGAGAGAGAGAGAGAGAGCAGAAAAAAGAAAATTTCCTTGTAAAGAATGAGGTCAATGAAAAGCAAAAATTTTTCACACTCTTTAATTTTTTTATTTTTCCTCTTAGCAAATTCTTTTCTTCGTTTTTTTTTCTTTTAAAAAAAGATTTTTTGGTAAAGAGGATTAAGGATGAAAGAGAGAAAAATGTTTTTCAATCTTTTTCCAACAAAAATTTCTCTTAAATTTCCATCATTAGTAAATGATTAGAGAAGGAAAATATCTCATTTCATAACTTTTCGCTCTTTTTCCTTATCTAATTACCATCATAAATAATAATTAAAATTGGAAATGGGATAATGATTTGTATATTTGTATTGATTATCACTAATCTAAACTCTTACAATTTCAATCTTTTTAATATTTACTATAATTATCACAAATAAACAAATACCATTTAATTGCAATCGATATATTATATTTGCTTTTATGGTTCATCAAAATTTTCACTCTTGAAATTATCATAATTGCAATTTCATCGTTCTTTTTTTTTTGCTTAATCATACTTTATATCTCTTCTCCCTCTCTCTCTCTCTCTCTTTCTTTCTTCCCTCTGGTCAAATTATGTTCCTTTTGTTAAATTGAAAAATCTTAACTTTTTGATTAAGGACTGAAAATAATTCGAAATAGACGACAATTTATGTAAACATTAGCATATCAAGAGGACATTTAAAAAAAATGTCCATATTTCAAATTTCAGAATTCCAAAAAAAAAAAACTGATTTTTCACTTTGGTACTCTATCATGATCCAACAAAATCTTTTTGGTTAATATGCAGAAAAAAAAAAATCGAATAATGAATTATTGAAATTTTAAATTTTTCAAAAAAAAAAAAAAAAATATAAAGAAAAGAATATATTTCAGTTTTATAAAAGTAATTATATCATAATTGATTAATTCAATAAATTAAAAAAAATTACGCATCTAACACACATCTATCTATCATTAAATGACTAATTATCATAACAATGATAAAAAATGATAATATCTATGATTGAAAATATGCAAAATAAAATATTAGTAAATATATTATAATCTAATTATAATAATAATTAGAGTGAATAAGAATTGATTATAAAAATAATTCATTTTACTTTTTAATTAGAATGTACAGCACTGCAAATATAAATTCAAATTAATCAAATAATTAGTGATCTTATGTAAATTTGTTTCTTATATGTAATAAAATTATTTATTTGGCAAACTTTTTTTTTTGAAATTTGTTTAAAATCTTAGTAAAAAAGAAGAAAAAATGAAATACTTATTTTTTCCTTTGTTTTTCTGTTAATTTGCATAAATACATTTAAATAAATTAAAATAAATGATAAACAATTTATGCTCTTCTCAAACAAACTTTTTTCTTCTTTCCTTTTTAATCTAATTTATAATTTCCACATCGGAATTATATAAATTGACATTTGTTTTTAAAAAAGAAAGTTTGATAATAAATAAACAATAGAAAAAAACAAAAATGAAGAAAAAAGTAAATAAAAAAGTTTGAATTTTTTAATTCAAAAATGCATTAAATGCCATCTTTTTCTAAAAATAACTTTACATTTGATTTTTTTTTTTTGTCTTTTTTCTTCAAAAATTATTAAAATTGTCAAAAGATGTTATTATTAAAAATTATTTTATTATTATTTTAATTGAAAATTATTTTTTTGTTAATATTATAATTAAAAATTATTATTTTTATTAACTAAGTTTGAATAAAATTATTAAATTAAGTAATTCAAATCATTAAAATTATCTTCTTTAAAAAAATTATTTAGCCTAATTATTGATAATAAATGCGTCACTTATGTTAACTTATTTAATCGTTTAAAAGTTTCTTTTTAATTATTTTTCTCTAAAAAATTTTTAATTATATCTTAAAAATTTAATTATATCAATTATAATACTATAAAAGAATAAAATTGAAAATAACATTCAAATTTCAAAAAAGCTACATTTTGCAAAAATTTTTCAATTTTTTTTGCATTTTTGCAACAAATATTATCAATTTTAAATCATATGGATAATTTTGAAATAAAAACAAAAATTTTTTTTATTTTTTTTTGAAGAGAAAAATAAAAAATATATAATTTTTAATAATAATAATAAAACAATTTTTAATAATAATAATAATTTTTGACAATTTTATAATTTTAATAATTTATAAACTTTTGATAAACCATAATTTTCTATAATTAGTAAACTTTCGATAGATAATAATTAATAATTTATAATAACTTTGTTGATAATTTTTAATAATAATAGTAATAATAATAAGATAATGATAATGACAATACTAGTGAAATAGTAACGATAATGATAATAATAATAATAATAAATAATAATAATACTTATCCAACTATTTCATTAAAAATTATTGGAAAACTTTCGAAAACATTACTTTTATATTTGTTTTCTTCGTTATTGTTGTTTCTCTTTCAAATTTACAAGAAACTTATCCATTAAAATTTCAAGAAGTATTTCCCGGGCAATGTTTGTAGACTTAATGAATGATTGGGAAATTGGTGGAACACAGAACAAATGGGTTTGCCCAAGTGATAGGCATCTACAGTTGAGAGCTCAGTAAGTTTAAGTTAATTTTTTTTAAACCTATATGAACGGATTTACACAAAATGCTACGATCTGTTTTTTTGGTAAGACGGATGTTTAATTATTTAAAAAATGATATTAATTTGGGTAAAAGTAATTTAGAAATAGAATTGGTAAGGAGTAAATAGAAGAGTGTTAAAAATATTTAATTTAAAAATTTAAAAATTTCTAAAAAAAAAATTTAGAAAATTAATAATATATCATTTTCTCAGAAATTTTAATTGAAAAGTTTAATTTGACAAGAATATTAATATATCACACACACACACACATTTCATTCATTTACAATTTACATTTTCTGCTATTTCATTTTTGAGTGCATTTTTTAATTTTTAATCATTTAAAAATAGGTTTCATTTTTTTTTTCCTTTCTAACATAAAAAGGATTCAATTTCATTAACAAAGATTTATTTCTTCGTGAAATCAACAAAACAATGTTATTACTTCATTTAAAATTTTCAATTCTTTCATTTTACTATCAGAATAAGCTTAAATATTTTACAACTTTTTTTTTTTTCGCATTATATAAAAAATTTTTTTTTGAAAAAAGGAACACTTGCAAATTTGTATTTTTTGAACAAAAATTTTTGTATATTATTTAAAATTTATTATATTTTTGAAATAATTTAACAGTTTGAAAGATGAAAATTTTTAAAATTGTAAATAATTAATTAAAATTTTTATGTTGAAAAGCGGTTGGAGTGTTCGTACAGCTAATGCACGATCACCAACAAATGCAAAAAAGAATGGAATAACAGATTCGGAGAAGAAGCATATCACGGACGTCTTAGCACGAGCTGAAGAAAGACGATTACGTGAACAGCAAAGGATAGGGTACGTCAAATTTATCACTTCATTTGATATTTGCATAAATTTTGAGAAATTAGAAATCAAAAATTTGAAATGTTAAAAAATTTTTTTGGTAAAATTTGAAAGAAAAAGGAAAGGAATTTTTTTTTTTTTTTTTTAATTGATTTGATTATTGTTTGAAATAATTAATATTTATTCTAATATAATAAATATTTTTTAAGAATTATATAAAAATTTATTGAATTTATTTGTAGTCGTATGATTGATAGATTAGAAAAGTTAAAAGCCCGAGCAACGGGTAATGGTATTACTCAATGTTACCTATGTTCCACAGATTTCGGTTTACTTGGACCAAGAAGTTATGCTGCTATGTGCTTGCAATGTCGACGGGTAAATCATTTTGAAAGAAAAAAATATTATCATTTTAATTTTTAAATATTTCATAGTTTATTTGTTTGTTCTATTAGTTTTGGAAGTAAAATTAAAAATTAATTCATTTTAAAAAAAAAAAGGGAAGAAAAAGTAAAATAAAAATTTTACTTTCTCTCATATTTTATTTCATTCTCCCTTTTGTCTTCTTTCTTCTATTTTTAAAAAATATTATTTATTTCATTAAATCATTTTTTTATTTTTAATTTCTTTCTTTCTTTTTCGTTTTTTCGCCATTTCAATTGACTTATTATTACTTTTAATTTTTTATTAAATTATTTTTATTTTTATTTTTTTTATTTTTTGTTTATTAGTGTTAATTAATTAATTATCTTTAAAATTTATTGAATAATTTTTCAGTATGTATGTCAAAAAAATTGTGGAGTGGATGGATATGATTACGTACGACGTGAAAATATCTTTCTATGCAAAATATGCAGCGAGTACCGTGAGGTAGTAAGTACTGCAATATACTTCGGTAAACTAATCTAGAAATCACTTTTGTTTTTTTTATTTCAATTATTTTCATTTTTAATTTATAATATTTACTGTCATTCTAATATTTTTGCTTTTTTTTTTTTTATTTTTTTTATTTGATTTTAATTTATTATTTGTTCCATAAAAATTTTATTTGGTTTATTTAATTTTCTTCTTCTTTCTTTCTCTTTTGCTTTTATTTTCTAATTTCTTTTTCAAAATTTTTCTATAATTTTATTAAAAAATTTTCATTTTCAAATAAAAATATTATGCTATCATTTCATTTCATTTTTTTTTTTGTTTGCATAAATTTGTTAAATAAAATATTTTGATATTTAAGAAAAAAAAAGTTGATTTTTTTAAATGTAATATTTATTTTAGTTAAATTTTGATAATAAATAAATGAATAAATTTAATAATAAATAATTTATTGATTAAAAAAATTTCTTTTTCTTTTTTTTCGCTTTCTCTTTAAGATGTGGAAGAAATCTGGTGCATGGTTTTATAAAGAAATACCGGAATATATTAAGCCAATAGAGGATCCGGAATTACATTCACCATTACACCATCCGAAAACTTCCTGGCAGCATTATACGAAACCGGAAACATCAAATTTAGCATTTTTATCTAAGAAACCACAACAAACACGAAAAGAACAATACAGGTGAATAAAAAAAACAAAAAAAAAAAAAATAAGAAACTTTTTTTTAATTGATTAGAATTTTCCATTTCTTTTAAAACTATTCATATGCAATTATTTTTTTTTTTTTAATTTTTGAAATTTAAAAATTATTAAATTAGAAATTATAAATTATATTTGGTCATTTTAATATTATTTATTTACAATAATGTCAATTATTCTATGCTTACTTAATCTATAAAACTTATTTTCATAATTATGCACAACTCTTTTCTCCTTTTTTTTTTTTTTTTGATTTATAAATTAATAAATTAAAATTTTTTTTTTCTAAAATTTTATTAGAAGGAAGGAAAATTAAAATATCATAAATTTTATGCTATTTGATTATTTATTTATCAGTTCAACAATATTTCATCGTAGTCGAATAAATCCATCATGGTTACTACATCGAAAAGTACGCCTATCATTGAGTAATGGTTACGGGTCGGAAGATGAAAATGCCGATAATTCAGCATCTGAAGAAACGCGAACATTCTTGAATGAAAATTTTCAAATGATACCATCAAATGTCGCCTCAAATCATCATAGCAGAATTTCAAAACGAAAAGAAGGACAAGATGTGACATCAATTATTCATAGATTTGCAACTAGTGATCGAAAAAGAATTACTAATAATGGTACAAATAATACTTTGTTTTTTTTTTTTTTTATTAGAAATTTTAATTGAAACTATTTTTATTTTTAATAATTTTGAATTTTAAAGAAATCTTTAGTGTATATATTCTCAGTATTTCAACTTTTGATTTTTTTTTTTTTTTTGAATTCTTTTTTTTTCACTTTTTTCTCTTTTTTTTCCGACAATAATTTATTTTGTTAGTTACTTTAGTTAAAAGTTTTGTTTCTAAAAATTTTAATTCTAAAATTAATAAATAAATTTCATTTGAGATTATTAATTCGCTAAGATTTTTCTCTCAAAATTGTTTGTTAACTTAACCATTATAATATATTTATCGATTGTAATATCGATTAATTTTTGAAATATTTTAATTAATTAATTTGAAGAGATAAATGAATCACATCATGCAACGCCATCAACATCACCAAGACATTCACCAGTATCATCATATGGTGATGACTTATCACAGAATCAATCATCAATTCTAGCATCAGAATCAATCGATTCTGGAGGTATCAATCAATAATAATCAACTAATTAATTAATTAACAATTTTCCAATGAAATATCTAATAATTGTTTGATTTATTTACTATAACTTATTCAGGATTGATCTATTTAGAATTAACCTGAATTATTCCTCTCTTTTTTTCTGTCCAAAGAATGAAATATTTACAAAAGTTGAATGAATCGTTTAAATTAATTGCTAAACGATTTCTCTAAAATTATTTAGCAACTGAAATTTCCCAAAAATTGGGGTCTCATTTCAGTTGTACCAAGTGATCATTCAGTGCGATTATCAAAAATTCCCGCTTCAGCTAATCTGATAAATCCGAATGGAATGCTAATAATGGATAACACTGATAAAGAAAATGGCAAACATATCAAACATTCAAGCTGTCCTCAAGCAGTAGCATCAATTGACATTCACAAAATATTTCCATCAACCGAATTGCATACAATTTTGGATCAACAATTTCCCTCACAAACATATGGAAAAAAATACTTCAATCCAACACAACAAACAAGTAAAAAATTTTAAAAAAAAATCTTTTTCTAATAAATAATTTTGTTAAATGATTCATTGATATAAAAGTATTATCAATAGGATCCGATAAATATTGTCAACCGGATCAATTTTTGGCATTTTCTTCAAGTCCGGCAAGTCCATCCGGAACAATGCTAATGACAGATTTACAATCGAAACAGCAAATTTTGAATCAAGAATTTACTGCCAGTTCTGCATCATCCATTTCATCAGCTCAAAAATCAATTATGTCACTTGAAAGTCTTCCAACAAATCTGGAACAAATTAAAACGGTTAATATTTCAATTTTTTGTTTTTTTATTTTTAATAAAATTTCAAATCATTTTGAGCAAATTTTTCATGCTTACAATTCAGAATGTAAATTTTGAAAAGGAAATGACAATAATTTGGTATTAAAAATTTCTTCAGTAAAACAAAATATAAGCTAATATCATGCATTTTTTTTTTTTAAAAAAAAAAAAACAATTTTTTAATTAAATATAAATATGCAATGAGTTAATTCAATTATTAGTCTGTTCTAATTAGCTAATTTAGAATTTGGAATTTCTTTTAAACCAAACTGTGGCCACAAATATTATTCAAAAAGTAAACGTTTAAATGCTAATCGTTGTTAAAATTTAGAAAGAAACAATAGCTTTTGGCAAATTTTCTTCGGATGATCGTAAAAGTAAGTTTATTCTTTGTTTTACTTCCTTAAATGTTATACAAATTGTTAACAAATTTATTAAATATTAATATTCACTTTGCGCTATTTCAAAAAAAAAAAAAAAAGTGAAACATTCATTTTCATTGCATTAAGAAAATTGAAAAGTTTCCAAATTTTATGCATAATTTAAAAAAAGAATTTAATTGGAAATAATTGATAAATCATTTTGTTCCATCTTATAATGTCAATTTAAGTGGATGTACAAATGTGGCAGAACAAAACTGAAATTCCAATGCAACTACCAATGAAAGGTCTGTCAACTACCAGATCAGCAATTTGTTTACAGTCGTCGGTTGCTACCGAACCGATCTTAAGGAATCAGACAGTACGTCATGCTATTTCCGGCAACGATATTATTGATTTACAGAATTCTGATTCCGGTAAATGTTATTTGCTCTTTTCTATCATTCTATTTACAATAAAATTCTTATCATTATCATCAGATATTACTATAGTTGCACATACTAGAAATTATAAGTTTGTTTTTTTTATTTTTTGAAAATTCGTTTTTTTTTTTTAATGAAAATTATTTAGAAAACATATTTCATTTCAAATACATAATTTTCTTTTTTAGTTTTGCACTTATACAATGAATTTATTGGCAAAAATATTTCACTTTTTTTTTCTTTAAATTTATTAAAAGATGAAAATAAAACTATATTTGAGTGTTTCTCTATTACTGGTAAAAAAATTTAGAGCGAGAAGAAAGCTTTAAATGAAAATTTTGAAATTTCAAGTAGTTTTATTATTTCGCAAATGAAAGTTTATTTTTGATAAACAACAATTGAGTTAATATGATGTAAAGATTTCGAAAACAAAGAAACATGTGATAGCTTTATAATCTATTGCACTAATTAATTTATTTAATTAATTAATTATGGTATTCAATTTCAAATTTACCTATAGCAAATCGTTACTTGTGTAGTTGTGCTATTAGCAAGTGGCAAATAATACAATAAGGAAGTAAACAAGTGGCTGATAATTGTAAAAATTAAATTTCAAAATTTAAATAAATTTTTATCTTACGGAAAAAAAACGTCAAAAACTTCTTTAGGTATGCGTGGAACAATTCAATTTACGCTTCGGTATTCTGCGCAACAAATGAAACTCTGTGTTCGACTTACCGGTGCTAAAGTAAAATTTATTAAATCGCTGATCATTAATTTGAAATGTCATATTATGTACACTTTCTACATACTTTCTTAATATAAAAGAATTTTTTAGAATTTTAATTTCAATTTAAAATTAAAGAACTTACATTAAATTAAAATTAAAACGATTTTATTTCTAAGTCATCTAAATTGAAGCATACAATTATTTGTGTAAATAAATTCTTGCAGAATTTGCGTGCAATGGATAAAAATGGTCTTTCTGATCCTTATGTTAAATTGTATTTAATTCCTGGAGCTTCTAAAGTAATACATTTTTATAAATAAATTTTATTAGCTTACATTTCAATTATTAATTATACTTTGCTAATTTGTTTTATATTTTTGCTTTTTTACATATAAAATTAACTATGTTTAATAAAAATTAAATTTCTTTTTTAAAATTTTTTTAGGCAACAAAAATGGTTAGTAAAACGATTGAAAAAACATTAAATCCATTTTGGAACGAAGAATTTACATATTATGGTGTTACGGATGAAGATCAATTAAATAAATCACTGCGATTATTGGTACTCGATCGTGATCGGATAGGTTCTGACTTCTTAGGAGAAGTTCATGTTCCACTGAAGAATCTCAAAAATGAGGAGGAAAAATTTTACAACTTATGCTTGGAGCATGCAATATTGGTAGTTAAAGAAAAAAAAAGATTATTTTTTATTTTTATTATTTGAAAAAATTTTTAATTTAAAAAATAAAAAAAAATTTTACAAATTTAAAATTTTAATTTAATTATTACTTAAAAAATAAATTGAACATTAATTTTAATAAAGCTTAAAAATCAGGCAAAAGATGTAAATGTTAGCAATGAACGTGGAAAAATTTGCTTAAGTTTATTGTATAACGTACAACAAGGCTCACTTCACGTCACGATTAAACGTTGCGCTGAGCTTTTAGGCATGGATAAAACTGGTTTCTCTGATCCGTACGTGAAAGTGTACGTATTCATTTGTTTCATTTATTAATAATTGTATGAATTGAATGGTTCGTTAATGAAATTTGAATTTTTTTCAATCACAAAATTTGCAAAATTCTTTTTTCTTTTTTGAGCCATTAAATTTGAATGATTTTACATTTTCATCGCATAAATAGCTATTGGTTTTATTTGCTTTTAATCCTTCTTGTTTTTTTTTTTTTTTTTCATTCTCTTCTTTTAAACAACAAAAAAAATTTTTAATTAAAAAAAAATTGATAAAAGTTTATTCTAGCTTAAATATGATAATTCAAGATTGTGAATTTAAAGACTGTAAATTAATTTATTTCTTATGTTATTTAAATTTTTAAACTTTAAACTTTAAATTTCCATTTTCTTGACTTTAAATTATTTCATTTTCAGCTCATTACTTCCTCTTACCAATAAAGCTCATAGACAAAAAACATCAACAAAAAAACGAACGTTAAATCCGGAATACAATGAGGTCAGTCATATCATACAATTAAGATTAGCTTATCATATCAATTATTTTAAGTATAATTATTCATTTGATACAAAATGAGTTATTATCGTATAGTTTTCAAACAATTTCAATTTTAGTTTCATAACAAAATTTTATAAATATTCTTCATATTCTTAATTTATTACTTACTGATTCGTTGTTTAATTATTAATTTATTTTCGAATAGTAGGTGTCATTTTTAAATTATTAGTAGCAGAATTTTTATTTTAGAAAACCGTCATTTTTCAAAAAAAGTTTTTTTTTTTTTTAGAAAAAAATGCTAATATTTTTTTTTTTCCAGAAGCTAACATTTGTGATACCTTTCAAAGATTTACCGAAAAAGACACTTCAAATTGATGTTTTTGATAAAGACGTTGGAATGCATGATGATTACATTGGTAAATATAATTCTTTTTAAAATTTAAATCTTTTTTTAAACGCTTACTTTTGAGTCATATTTCATTAGTCCTATTCTTATTAATGGCATATAATAGTAATAATATTTATATTGCAATTGAAAATGATAAATATGTTTAGCAAATTTTATTTAAGTCAAAAAAAAGAATTCCAAAAAAGAAATTCTAAAGAAATTCCAAAAAAATAAATAGAAGTTGTCGAGAGAGAGAGAGAGAGGGAGAGAGTGGAAGAGACAAAGAGAATGAAACTTTTTATTGTTATAAAATTTATTGATATCAAGACCAATTGATTTTGTTAGAAAAATGTAAACAAAATAATATCAATTCCTTTCATTGTCATTAAAAGAATATAAATTAAGTAAAAAAAAAAAGAAAATCATTAGCAGCGTTAATTAAATTTAGCAATTAGAAGTTAAATGTATTACACTTAATTTTTATTCCTTAAAATTTACAATAAAAATTAGAAAATAAACAAAACAAATACAACGCATACAACATGCAATTTCTTCATACAAATTAAACTATCATTTTTCATTCACAGGAAGTATCCTATTGTCAACATCTGCTAAAGGTGAACGTCAAAAGCAATGGAATAGTTGTATTCAAAATCCTGGCTATGAATTCGAACGATGGCATAAATTAGAAGTCATTGAATGAAAATTCAATTCTCTTTTTGGTATATAAAATTAAACAATGTAATTATCATTTTTTTTTTTTCTTTTTGTTCTGCTCAATTGGAAATTTGCGTGTATACTAATTACGCAGTCATTTTGAGATATTTTCTGCCCATTTCCGGTATATCATTTGTCTCCATATCATTTGTATCATAGAAATACGCCAATCATTATATTCATTATTATCTTGATGTGTTGCAGTGATTATGCAATACTAGAAATGATAAATTTATATTAAAATTCCCTTGAAATAATCAAATTAAATGTAAAAATCAGAAATAAATATCAAGTTTTCCTCATTATGTTTTACATAGTTCTCAATACAAGAATAGAAATTCCCTTATAGAATTATGTTGACTTTTAAAAGTAGGAAAGCCCGGATAGCAGGCCAATAATTACCAATACTGAGAAAAAAAATTTTTTTTTTCCAGCGAAACACTAATAGGACAAATAGTTAACTATAGATTTGCTAAATTTATGTGTAATACAAGTCGAATTATTAAATATTAATTATTCCCCTACCCCTCAGCGTATATATGAAAAGATAAAATATTTAACAAATATTAACATTTTCACTTTCATATAATACTTTACTGAAAATTAAAAATAGAAAAAATAGGAGAAAAAAACAAGTGACAAAATAAAACTACACCATTCTTTCAATGAAAAAAAAAAATTTTTTTAATTTGATAAAATTACCTCCTAAAAATATCAGAAACATAGCTATATATAATAAGACAAGAACAAACATTAGCAGCAATTGCTAACTCAACTGCTCAGTTTTCTCTGGTGTAGGATTGGAATCACATTCTAACCTAAATGTGGGTACTTTAACAAGGAACGATGTTCGGTCTTCTTCTCGTTCCATCGTAAAATTCCCCCTAAAACACGACAAATGTCTTGAGAATTCACACAATGCTATTTTATTTATGTTAATAGCAGTATTTTGTTAACAGATGAATCTATAATCAATTACAGATATTATTTACTCGTATGTGGTTATTCTCCATTTAGAGTTATCTCTACTGCACAGCATTCAACTTAATTAACAAACAGATTTTACTTGAATTATCACTTATGAATGATTTAACCATTCCAATATAAAAAAATAACAAACCATGCGTATGACCCTTTATCCACTACCACACCAACCATACCGCTATACTGAAATGCCGGCTCTTCTGGTGTTAATCGCGGATTCTGATAAAAAAAAAGGAAATATGCTAAATCTCAATTTATTGAATATTTGAAAAACTTAACCTTTTTTTTCCTGGCAGATAATGCCATTACTGTATCTTAAATCTGATGTTAAATTTGATAGATATCTATACATGCGGATTTCTTAATGTTAATCTCCTAACCACCAAGTCTACTATATACTTCTCAAAAGTCTCTCATTTTTAATATAAGTATCTCTATCTATACATATCAATTTCCAGACACAGATGTCACCTTTATTATTTAGACCATTTCTAAGGCTACCAATAAAACATATAATAATAATAACAAAAACAGACGTACTCCACCAGCAATGCTTGGTATTTTCTGTTGTTGCATATTACTTAAACTGTAAACTTTCATTTCTCTCGAACGAATAATTATGTGGCAAGGTTTCAGATTTTCCAGACGTATCACATAACGCCACTGAAATAGAAAAAATGTTAAGTAGAGTAAAAAGATGAATAATAACAAAGAACAAAGTAAAAATTAAACCAAAACTTAATTTTCTAAATTGTATTAGATATTAAGAATCAATCATTCATTCATTCATTCATAAAACAGTCTTTCGCAAATTAATTCATTCTTCATATACACTAAAAATTTATTCTCCAGAACATTTTGATTAAAAACGCTAAATTTTTAATCCATTGCATGATAATAGATATTAATAGAAATGAACCCAGTGCTTTTGTTGTCCGTTAACCGTATTTAATCCAAGATAAAATGTTATTACAGTCACCTGAAAAAGACAAAAAGAATTTGTGCTGAGCAATGAAAATTTCAAAATTAAAACTGATATAATTGCAACAGACATACGCAATGTTCAGTGGCAACCAACCCATCAAATTAACTTTACGATGATGATCTATAGATGAAACAATAGATTTTGAGTGAGAAAGTTTTGGAATTAATTGCAATGTTTTTAATACATATGGAACAGTCCATCTTGCAAGAAAAAATGGATGAAGAAAAAATAAAGTTAAAAATTTTCACTCAACACAATAAAATATTAAAATCTAGAAAAAGAAAAAAAAAAAAAAAAAAACAAATTTGATTGCATAAAATCTCAGTATAATTTGGAAGAAACATCAAAAAACAGTTTTACCCGTATCCCATCTGTTGTTTCACGATAAGCAGAATGAGGTTTGAGTTGATTCAATATGCAATTTGAATGTTGACCTATCAGAAAGTTTGGTTCTTTACGTATGCCAAATATGAGTTCTAAAAAAAAGAAATATAATCTACAAATGAAGATTAAAAGTAGAATTAAAAAATAATTAAAAGTGGTTACCATTATCCTCCACTGCTGTACATTCAAAAAGACCACCAAATAGGTTATGAGCGATAGGTCGTGTGATATGTGTTCTGTACGGTACAATTTCATCATGAGGAACACAATCCATTCCAAACACAACAGTCAGAACTTTCTCACCATGAATCGTGCCTGCATCTTCCAAATATGAAGTAATGTCCACTGGAAAATGCTGAAATACAAAACTAATGAAAAAAAAAAAAGTCACTAAATTTATTTCGTCAAATTGAAAATAATAAAGAAGGATCGACTTCATCTCTAAAAGTTCTCATTGTGTGGTACTATCTATTAGTATTGGTATCGGAAATGAAAAATATTCCAATTTCTAAAATGTAAATGTATGAAATGGTGAAAAGCTGAACGAAAAGTTATCAGTTTGTGAAAATATAAAATATTTAGGTCAAAAATTTCTTCAACTTTTTTCAAGTAAACAAGGACTACAAATAATATAAATTACTATTTCTCCCAATTGTTCTTAGAAGTTTTGTCATTATGCCAGCTAATACAATTAACTTGAATGAGCACACATTAAATGTACAAGTGTTAAAATAAATTTCAAACATACCATATTTTTCCAGTCACCACAGTGAATAAGCACTTGATAAAACAATGATTTGTGCGTTATTACCACAGGATCATCATTACTGAAAACAAAAATAAGCTAGATGTTGAAAAATTATTTAAAAGAAATCTGCATCAAAGGTTTTTAGTAATTTATAATTTCCAAACAAAAATTCTGTACGAATTTTAAATGTGACTAAAGTACATATAAAATGTTGATTTCAACAAAAGTTGACCTTTACAAATGGCTTATGAATTGATTGAAAAAGTAATAGAGATAATGAAAAGAACTGAAACCAGGAGAAAAAACTTGGAATGTGAGGCGAATTATATAAAATACATGAAAAAAATAAATAAATAAATAAACAATAAACTGCAAATAACCATTCGCTTGAAAAGTCGGAAAAATTTACCTTGGATTAAGCAGCTTTTCTTCGATAGGACATGGAAAGGAACATAGAACAATACCTCTATAGGGAAAGAGTTTATGAATAAACAGCTGCAAAAACACGGCTTAACAACTCATCAGAAGCATACTGTACAATAAAATTTTAAACAAAAATTAGTGCCAAATTTGTTCAAAATCATTTCAAAATATAATTTGAGATCCGGGTCTTACTTTGCATTTCATATCCTAAACGGCTCAAAGGAGTAGCACTGCACTCATATTAACGAGCCGATACACATTAGAACTAATGTCACCAAGATGAAAAACTTAAAACCCTACTTGGCCCGGCATATATGGTTCATCATGAGTTTGAACAACTGTTAACCGACCCAAATCCTTCAAGAAGACATTACCGCTTCCTTCTCGTAATCTAAAAATTGTTTCCTACTATCAATTTCACTGAAAATACATTTGAAACAAAACTTATAATCACAAATAGAGATCATCAAAATTGGGAGAAGCATACTATACCTTGCTGTGGCTGATGCAAAAAACGATCGAATTGGTGCAATCCAAAACATAAGACCCCGATGGGTCAGTAATCCAGTCATTCTACCGTATCAGTTCAGGCATGAGATTAGCGTATATGCCTTTCTCATTTTTTAGGTCTGCAATAGCTTTAAAACATTAACATTTCAATTCAAATATTAGGCTTCCCAAAACTAGCATCAGAAGAATGCATGTTTTCACTAAGCCTGCGAAAATATTCCTAATCAATATTGATATATTTAGTCAAATCCAAAATTATTCCACAAATAATGCAGCCAAATTCCCAAATTTACTTAAACAGATGATAAACTGAATCCTGAAATTCCAACCACAAAATGAAATTTGTTCAAATGAGAGCAAAAGCAAATAGCTGGAAATAAAGAGTGAAGTATACAAATATGAGCACTGCAGATCACATTTAGAATTTTCTTTTATCCATATAGAATATAGCAAAGTATACATAAGAGAAATAAAGGTGGAACAGTGAAGAATAAAGAAAGACTAAGAAATGGTAAAAGGCCGTTACTGATCGCTAGCACGCTTCACGCCGGTATGGATGGCACAAATACCGCATGAAAGATTTCTATAATTCGCATTCTTGAAACCAACCTCCTCAATCATCCGCTTATATTCATCCTAAAACTTTTTTTCTAAAGAATCAAATATTAGCAGCAGCAGTAGTGAAAAAAACAAGCATTGAAATATGTTTTGGGAGTTCACTGTAGAATGATTTTAACATACGATCTAATATCTGAAAATCAACGAGTTTTGAAAATTTTCTTTGGAAAAAACCTTTGAAAAAATTAAAAATTCTTATTTTTAATATCTGCCACTTACCTGATCCGGAAATCTTCGTATGCTTTCTACTAAATAGCGATAACTGTGAAAGTCACCAGCAATAATTTGTCCCATAATAGGAATAATTTGGAAGCTGTAAAAATCGTAGAACTGCTTTAACAACGGATTTATATGGCTGAATTCCAGACAAGCAAATTTGCCTCCAGGTCGAAGAACACGATATGCTTCCCTGAGTACCTAAAAGTTGATTAGGATTTCATTACTGAGTATGCTAACACCACCAGTATTATTTTCAGCCGTTTATATTTTACTGCACAGTACGTTTAAAGTATTTGAAATTAAGTATTGCAATGTACTTCATGCAAGCATGAATATACGATCTATTCGATTAATAAAGATTATAATTCCAATAAGAAACCGATATCTGCAAATATACCTTATCAATGTTCGTGCAGTTCCTTATCCCAAAAGCTATCGTATAGACATCGAATGAATTTTCATCAAATGGCAATGCTTCCGCATCCCCGCGTACCCATTTTAATCGAGCTGCACAATTTTACTGTGTCACAGTTTTGAACATTTTTAGACTATTGAGAATTCAAATATTTCTGGTCAACGCAATTCAAACTGAAGTCAATAAGAAGCTTTATAAAATGTGACCTTATTACAGGTACGAGCTATAAAGAAAAACAATGACAAAGTGGACAAGACATATGTTTTTGAAGCCAAAATTATAAGAAAAACTGCTTTCAAAAACTAAAACAAAAATGATTCAAAAAGAAAAAAAATTGCAATTTACTAGTCAGTGATATTCAAACAATTACAATCATTAACCGTAAAAAATCACACATATGTTTTAACAACTAATAACGACAAATCATTTAAACAGATCTAGTTACAGATTCTGTTTAAACCGGAAAAAATCCTACATTACCACTCACTCTATAAAGAAGTAATAAGAAACCTTTCAAAACTGATGGATCATCTATTGCACGTTGTTGACCAACTTTGAGCATGTTTTCATTGATGTCACAAACAGTCACTGAACCTTTGCCTTTTCTGAAATAACGGGCAAATACTTCCTGACAATGATCTGTGCATTGATCTGTTATGGGCAAAGTAAGAGTGAGAAGAAAACATTTTCCAATACATTTATATATCAAAACAATACTATATTAATGTATATATGTATATCATAACGTTGAAATGTGTAATGAAGCATCTAAAACTAAATAATCCTCTGGATGAAATGATAGAGAACAGTGAAATATATATCTGGAACTATTAAGCATCAAATTTCAAATTTATACTACAATATATGAGAAAAACGTAGTACTTGGATTGTATATCCCGTACAGCACGAAAAGCAATATCACCAGTGCCTCCTGCAACGTCTATCATAGCGGTATTTGCCGTAAGTCCTAGATATGCAACAAAATGATCCTGCAAAGTCTCTCATTTTGTAGCTAACACTGGAATGATTGTAACTCTTATAGTTAAAGTCTACATTACTATCAGAAACATTCACATAAAGTGTACTTTATAGAATTCATCTATTTCTCTTTTCTTTTCACTCTCAAATCGGACAATCAAGTAAAGTTAGAATGTGGTAGTAACTGAACACGTAATCATTGGAAAATTATCTTAAAAAATGAATAAAAATAATAATGGAATAAAAATTAACAAAAATAATAATAGAAAAGATGGAATTAGAGGAAACAAGAAATAAAAAGAAAAGCAACCTTCCATAGCCGATGAATGCCCAGCGACATCGCATCATTCATCAAATCATACTTGTCGGCAACGCTCGCGAATACAGCATGTACTGAAAAGCAGGTCATTAATAATATTCGCATTAGCATCATCAACACAGTCGAGAGTAAAAAACAAGGTTTTTAAAAGAAAGAATCAAGATTTCGTTAAGTAAAAATGAATAATATAGGCAGAAGAGAAATAAGACCCTATTTTCACGCTGTTTCTCACTGCCTATTTCATTAAATATTTCAGGCCAGATGGATTAGCTCACCATTCAATTTTTAAAATACTCAGTAAACTAAATTGTTCTATTACAAATCATCTAAAAAACCAAATGACTAAGTAAACTTCTGAAGCACGACAATCACACATACATAAATATATTACTCCATCATTAAACATATCTCCTTGTTAAAAATGAAATCAAATCACAACAATTAAGTGGACTTTAAACACTATAAAATGTCATACCTTTCTTACTTTTCTCCTTTTCATCAACTTCTTGAAAACCAAAATGTGTGGTAGCAAAACGAACAGTAATTTCGTTCGGTGATTTCAGATTATGCAGGATAGTTTTCCTAGATAAAAGACTTAACCACCAAAATCTTCCATTCATCCTGCAAATATCATTATAATATACTATATCCAATAATGAAAATTGTTTCGAAATTTCGAAAAATCAAATCCCAATCATTTAATCAAATATCAATGCTCATTCTATTCTCTCATCAAATAAGCTTTATAGTCATTCCTAATATTATCTTATCATATCAGTATCATCCTTATCATCCATCTGACATTTTCCAGGGACTATTCGAAACTATATAGTATGTCATAAATGCTACCACTCATTGCTGCTTTATTACTCTCATCATTATTTTCAAACACTACAATATTTCTCAATCTTTGAATCTCTTCAAAAAACATAATTTCTCTCACAAATACCTGAGAAAAATTGAAAAAATGAGAGCGAAATACTACAAACATTAAATTCAAAAGCAAACAACTTAAAAGTAAACAACTAAATTTGCAACCGACTGATCAATTGCGTATGTATTCCACGGGCCGTATTGGATAACCTTACGCTTCCTTTTCTTTTTTTCAGTTTTACTCAATTAATATTAATTAATGAATTGCATTTCACCTAAGTAAGCTTTTCAATGCCATTTGTATTCTTTACACTAAATTATTTATCAAATTGAGTGAATAAATAAAGCAAATAAAAATTGGATATGCTATTACAATAAAAAATGAGTAAGAAAGTAAAGAGAAGTTACAAATTTCATTTGAAACATTGAAATGAAATAAATTATCATTCAGATGTATCATTTAACTAATCACAAATATATGAATATAATTATTTTTTCATAACATATGGTAGTGCGAAATTTTACTATTTCTATGTTCAAGTGTATAAATAGTCCGAAATTTTAAAACAAAAGTATTTGCAGGTTTATGCAAGAAAGCATAAGAAGATTTTATGAGCAATTACGGAATACTGAATTATTATCACCTGGGTTAGTTTTAATTACATTAAATATTTACATTTAAAATAATCACTTTAAATGATTCAAAATAATTTATTGAAATCATCTAAATTGGTTTTTCATTTTTAATGATTGTAATTAATCAATTAATTAATTTTTAATGGTTATGATTATAGGAATATTTGTGAGTTAGTTTTTTGATTTGAATAATTTACAGTGATATTTTAGTGGTGTACTGCATCATCCTACTGGGTCTACCACTGAACCAAAGATACCATTTGGTGATTTGCTAAAGAAGCCATTATCATTATCACTCAAAGGGCAGGATGACCGTTCTAGGTTTGTAAAAAAACTTTTTTTAATTAAAAAATGTTGATATACTAATGATCGGTTTGTAAAAATTTAGAACAAAAGTTCTTTCGAGCATTTATTACGTTGATCATTGTTGCTGAGGAATATAGTGCAGCTAGTAATTGAGCATCTCCGAATCCTTTACAAAATATAGTTGGGTTTTAAAAGATGAGAAGGGCGAAAAATAAACTTAAGAATTTCTTTCTCTTAAGTATATAGTTAATAAAGTGTATATTTGTATATATTATTTTTTCAATGTTTCTTTAAAGCCTTAAAAAAGTTTTGAATCTTCAGAAAATTATTACATTTGACTTGTTAGATTAATAAATTTGATGTGACTAAATGTTACTTTGTTTCATTTGAGGATTCTTCCAAAAGTAATGACAAGCGATACTACTGATCATTATGTTTTATCTGCATCGTTAATCACGTCTTTATTGCTTGAAAATTGTGACGGTAGTATGTATGATCGAAGGAGGAAACAATTTTCTACTAAAATTAAGGTTTTTTTTTTCTTTTTTAATTGCAGTATTTGTTTAAAAATATAATAGCTTTTCTTAATATATATTGGATTGCTTATTAGTTTAGCACTTTAAATTACCCTTGATGTCCGAGTTTTTTTTTTCTGAATGAAGTTGTACAATTTTCAGAAAACTGTAGTAGTTTGTATTCCTAATTACTATTATCTAGATCCCTAATAGTGAAGTTTACTTATTTGTTCAACATATACGGACTTTGTTTTTCTAGTGTTTGACAAAAATTAATTTGGATAAATAATTTCCAATCCATATTTACTGGTAAGCAAATATAGACTGGAAAATTTTTCGATTCGTTATTAAGAATGCAGAAGTTTTGTTTGTTCTTTATACAGAAAAAATACTTTGCAATATTTCAAGTTCGTACATATTGAACAATACTGTAGAGAACACTTATAAGATATTTAAGTCAATCCTTTATTTCTTGTTTGTACTTTCTTACTTTTCACTGATTTAGATGTTTTTCTTAAGGTGGAAAGGGGCCATTTATTACGATCCGCGACAGAAAGTGATTTGGTGATGCAACGTTTCAATGATATACATAACGAAGTAAAAAATTCAACTGCTAATGATACTTTATTTATGAAGTGTCTTGAATTCGGTGATGTTTATCTACGGGTATCCACGGCAAAGGTTGTTAACTTTTCGTTAACTTTTCACTAATTTTACTTTTTCTATTTTTTATAATGGACTTCTGAACAAAGATCTTTGCTGCATTACATCACGTGAATTTAAGCTTCATATTTTGGTTGTATTTTAATACTATTACATTTTTTTATGTTTCTCAGGTTGCTTTGCTGACAGATTTTGAAACTTCATTGTTGAAAGCAGTTAATGATGTCGAAATTCGATTTCGTTTTCATCAGTATACTGATTTGTTCAATTTTGTAAGCCAGCTAAGCTTGGGAGATCGTGTATTAGTGCAGGTTTGCATTTCTAGTTGTTGAAGTACTTTTGTAATGAAGATTATTTTCATAGACTTATCTAGACAATCTATCACCTGGTATGAACAAAGACTAGACAGTAACTTACTTTTTAAAAGTTTTAATGGATGATTTGTTGTTTCTGATATCTAGAGAATAGATGACCTCAAGTATCGATAGTATGATAAGAAGGTGAATTGAATAGACTGATATGAAGACTTGTTTCGTTGATAAGGCGATGGCAAGAGAATGATCAGCTTGCTACTTTATTGCCAGAAACCTGTTATGCTAGTTAAGAGCAGGTAGTTTTATTAACTTAAGGAAAGTTTGGTTAGCTATTTTAAAGAATGTTGTATTTTAGATATAAAATGAAGTTTCTGAAATTTCTGTAAAATTAATTCCATTCTTTGAAATTATTAATTGTTAAAATTTCTGGAAGTTACGAATCCCAATTCATTTCTTTCCATTTAATAAAAAAAAATTTTCAGCTCAAACCCGAAACCGGTGAAAAACGAACCATTGAAAGATGTTTCAAGCCAGGTTGGGTAGAATGGTTTGGCGAACCTATTCCTAATAGTGGATTTCTATTTGGTATACGTCTTGATGTAAGGATGTTACTTTTTTCATTTTTATATTGGTATACGGTGTATGAAAAATGATGTTTGATATGCTGGAAACACTACCTTCTACCTAACTAAGAAAAATATATATAAGAAAAATATCATTACCTAAATGGAGCTGAGGTAGATCTGTATTCAATCTATTAGGGCAGCAGAGGAAAATTGAAATTGTGGATTGTTAACGTCGAATTATCTTTCTTTTTTTCTCATTTGATTCAAATTTTTGTGATTTAAGAGATAAGCTAGTGTTAATGGAATAATAGCGATTACTATTTTTAGGTTACATTTCTGAAAATTAAATGTGTGAATGAGAGCGTGAAAAGAAAAATTAATAGAAATAGAAATTAATAGAAGAATGATGAAAGGACGAATGAAGGTTTTACTCAACCCAAAAAATTAAAAGCAATTTCACTTAGTACCATTTTGGTCCATTAAAATGAGTTGTGTGATTATGACATATGAGATTCGCAAAAAATTATGGCTTTTAGAAAAGAAAAAAAAAAAAAAAACTTGATTTATACAGTGGAATAGATTGAGTGTTTTAAATGTGTAATGTGTTTGTATCTTTTCAACACTGTGAATATGTGCTAAATTAAGTATCGTGTTGGTAAAAACGACAATAAAGTGCTTGTTAAGTTTGAAGTTAAAATAATTTTTACAATGTTTTGCTTTTTTCTGTTTTCCTTAAAAACATAATGAACATCATACTTTTTGTGGGATTTCAAAAACCCGCTTTTCAATGCGTTTCTTACTTTCAATGATTTTATTTCATTTTTACTTTCTTTTCTATTTTTTTTTTTTGTAAAAAATCAGTGATTCATTTGCATGACGTTGATCTATACTAGTTCAGTCAGGTGTACAAGTTCAGTCTTAAACTAGTTTTTAGTTTCCTAGGGAAGCATAAAGAATTTGAAAATTTATTTCCCCGCTTCTTTTTTTCCTCTTTTTCTATGTCTGTTTCTTTTCGTAAACATTGATTCATCATTGTAATATGAGCTTGAAAAGCAGTTGGAGAATATGGAATTGTGAAATTCGGTTTTGCCTTGGTCGCGATTAGGTATTATTAATAATCATTGGCAAGTAAATTTAAGTTTAATTCTAAATCAACCATTTAATTAGTCCTTTTTATACTGTGTATTGATTTTATTGTTTTGTATAGAGATAAATAAATTCCAAATGAATCAAATTTGGATACGGTGCATTTCAGTCGTAAATTAAAATGATCATCGGGAAGAACTAGATCTAATTTTCACTCCTAAAGAAACATCAAAAATTTTTAATCAGGGTAGCTTATCTCTCATGCCAACAAGTTTTGAAAAGACTAATAATCCAAAATAGAATAATCGCCACAAACCATCTACCTACCGATTAGATACCGATGAATCGGATTGCTTGGGTTAACTTATTTAAATTTTATGGAGAATTTATTGTTTTATAATTCCTAATTTACTTTACTATACTTTATTATTTTTATTATTATATCATTTGTCATTATTACAATACAACTTATTTTATTATACTTTATTATATCTTACTCTATTGTAGCATTTTCAAATTTTGAATTAGTTCTTAACTTCCAACTTTCCAATCTTTCGATTGTCGCTGTTAAGTTTTTTAATCCAAAATTAAATTTAAAGCATATAAAAATTATTAACAAGTTTTGGTTCAATCATGATGCAGTTATTTTATCTCTGATTTA